AAAATATTTTAATAAATAAATTAATTAGTTGTTTAGCTAATGAATTATTTTATCACGCGTTTTCTTTATAAATATAAGCTTTATTAATGCTAGTGTATAGTGAATATTAACTTGGTATTTTATAATGCTTATATTTTTGACAACTAGGTCCATTATACTGTTTTTAAAAAAACATAATTGCTTGTTGCAGTTTGATCTCAAAGAGTATTGTTTGGAATATAAAGTGCGTTAGCTTAAAGTTGCAAAAGCTGATTCTTACATTTTTTTTAGTTAGCTGTAAGGTGTTTTCCTTTAAAAAAAGCAACTAAAAGTTGCAATGTGTTGTACAATTGACATCTACTGGTCTCGTAGCAACGAACTCTTTCGACCAACCACGCTACTTTTGCGTAAACCACTAATATTATTTCTTAAAATTCTGTGTGTTATGTTTAGTAGACTTGCCTTAGGTTTTCAAGGCTCGCCATCATTAACAAGAAAAAACAAAGTTTACCTTATTCCATAAAGAAATGTAAGAAAAAATTCTTCTCCTTAAATTACCTGACTAATTCTCAAACAAAATACAAATAAAAAAGCAAAATTATATGAAGTGTTTAGGATTACTTAATGACAATAACTTATCTTGGTTTTCCCATATTAAATATTGACAATCAAAGGTTAATAAGATTATTGACCTGATGTACCGAGTTCGTCCATATGTAAATATAGTTTGGCTAAAGTTATATTGCTTTCCTTTAACTTATTGTTCCGATGACTATGCTAATACTACATGGTAATATTAGCATAGTCACATTCAACAAAACTTAAAAAAGTACTTAGTTTGAAAACAACAAGCTTGTAGAACTATTTACGGGTAAAAAAGAGGAGAGCATAATATACCCTTAATGAGATATATAAAAATGATGAATGTATACAAAATATATTTTTATCAGCACCTAATTTTCATTTATAATTATATTAATAACGTAAGTTTAGCTAAATTTTTTTGTAAGTTTGAGAAAAATGTAAGTGGAAAGTATTTCTAAAGAACAAATAACCAAATTCCTTCAAACTGCCAAGGAAATAAAATAAATATACAGAATATTCGATAGCATATCAAGTTGTGTAATCCGTTTCAAATTTAAAGTAAAATGATAAAAAATAAATAAAGGTAAAAGAAGTTAAAAAAGCAAAATAGATATATAAGAGATAATGCGGTTACAGAATTGCATACGTTAATCTCACCTAACTTAAAGCACGATTATTACGTTGTTTTAAAAGTACCATTTTAATTCTTTTTATACTGGTCAAACCTTTGACTACCAATGGTATTGCTTATCACGACTATGTTGACATTGAGGAAATTTAAGCTATTTCTAATAACGCATATTAGCCAGTTGTGGTCTTTCTACTTAATTTTTTCTATAATGTAATTTGGAGATTGTGTATTCTTTTTTCAACGTTGTCAAATATGCAATCGGTATGGAGCCGTAGTTAATATCGTTATGACGCAAATCACAAATTACATTTCTTTTATTTACGACACTAATGATGATTTTATAGAAATGTATTATGCTATGTGGATGATTTTCAAGTTATATACTAGATCGAAAGATGGTTGCAAATCTAAACTTTATTTTTGTTAAATGCCTAATTGACTCTAATAAAATCATCAATAGTGTGTTTTCTATTTTACTTATTCTATGGTGTTGTTTAATATTTTAAGTTTTATTATTCTAAATGAATTTGTTTGCCTAGTATGGGTGAGTTAGATAAAATGTGTTAGATATAACAACAAAGAAAGAGTAGTAAAAAAAAATTAGGACTGTTTTGAGGTTTCAAAAAACTGTTTCGAGCTCAACCAAATACAAAATCAGCAGATGGAGAATAGTTTTTCATTGCGAAGTAAATTTGAAAGCTAAAAATTCGAAAGTTGACAAATTATTTTTTTAAGAAAATTTTATGCATAGCAAATAGGAAAGAAATAAGCGCATGTAGTCAAGTTAGAAACTGATACTACAGATCTAACTTTTTAAAACGAATAACTATACACACATTGTAACTCATTAAGTTTCCAAATAAAGACATTGGGTATAACAGGAAAAAGCGTTTCCGACTAATTAAAAAATAAGAGATCTATAAACTCAAATTTAAAAAAACTCAAAATACCTTTGCATATGACTGTAGCAAAAACGCAAGATTTCTAGAAAAAGTTATTTAAGAAAACTATATTTCAATTGTTCTTGGTATAAAATACTAAACTTGAAAACGTTATGTTAACTGTAATAAAGACTTAAATGTTGTGGATTTGGAACCACCTAATCTCTGATGTTGGTTTTAACAAAAAGAACGAGCTTTTCATTGCTGTGTATAACCCAGATAACGCACAGGCGTTGGCCCAACGTCCGATCATCGTTGAAAAATTCCATGGCTGATGGTCGGCAACTAACGTCGCCACAACATGGATTTGGAAGTCGGCGCGATGTTGCAGCCAACTGTTGTAATAATCATTATAATGACGTTAAAATATTTGTACAAATTATGCACATATTTAGAAAGAAAATGTTTTTTTCGACTTATATATTTCCATACCAATCTTCCAAGCTTCAATAAGAATCTTGAGTCTTTAATTTGCTGGAAAGGAACTCCAAACGTTCAAACGCTACTTTCTATACGATTTGATGGAAATCTCCGAACTTGCATCTTTTGTATGATAAGCTTTTAGGCAGTGCTATAACTGCTGTTAAAATTTTATTTATATTTATATATAGATATATATATATATATATATATATATATATATATATATATATATATATATATATATATATATATATATATATATATATATACATATATACGTATATATACATATATATATATATATATATATATATATATTATATATATATATATATATATATATTTATATATATATATATATATATATATATATATATATATATATATATATATATATATATATATATATATATATATATATATAAACTTGAAATACGATTTTTAACCAAACATAAAGCAAAAGGTAGTCAAGCCAGTAAACAAAAGTAAATCTTTTTTTCTCAAAATATTTATTACTAAAAATATTTTTTTGTTTTTTCCAAACATTACACTATTACGGAGTACCTTTATACAATTAATTAAATAAACTTTAAGCACTAGATGCCTTTCAAAAAATCATCAGTAGTGCTGTTATGGTATTATTGCAAAATTTTTGTATACAAAATAAGTTTAATTGCATATTGTCGCTATGATTAACTATTTTGATAACTTCATTTCTAATAATACACAGGAAGTATTAATTAAAAGTATCATGTTTTGTTTGTGCAGATTTGTGCAGAAGTCTTCTTAACAAGTTAGGAGGTTGTTTAAAAGCTAATGCCGGAGGAATATTAGAAAAAACATATTTGACTCTTTCATTCTGAGATACTTTGAGTAAAAGGTTAGTTTCTGATTTTAAAGGTTGACAATTGAGATTATTATAGAATGTTGTCACTAAAGGAAATATTTCTTCAGACTTTTTTTGTGACGCTGGTCCTTGTAGTTTTGCGTTATAGAATGCTTTATCTATAATTACATGAGGATATTCATAATCTTTTAACCATGACTTAGTTCAGCTAGAAGAAGTTTTTCAATTTCGTAATTAGATGTAAAAACAATTATTCTTTTAGCTAAATTATAAGGAATGTTCTTTTTGATGTGTAATGGATGATGGCTGTTATAGTTTAAGTAGTCATGAAAGTTCGTTTCTTTATAATAAATGTCTGTTTGAATTTTTTTATAGTTTTCAAGAGTAATTGCAATATCTAAAATAATTGTTTATCGAATATAAAATTATATTTATTTAAAATAAAAGATGCTAACTCAAATATAAATTAAGGTGTAAATCTTTTGTGTATTAATTTTTTACATTTAAATATCCAGAACTTTACTGCTTCTAAGCCAAGATAATGTGGGATGTTTGTGTAAAGATTGACAAAGTCGCATGTCATTATACGACTTTCTGATTCAAACTCTCTTGAAATTTTTCTGAGGAAATCCCAGTCATCTTTAATGAAAGATTTTTGTTTCTTTACAATTGGTAATAAAATTATATGTAAAAACTGGCTCAAACAAGATATGGGCGAATTTATTCCGGCAATAATTGGTCTACCTGTAAGATATTTTGGTGGTTTCATTTCAATGAATTAAGAGTTGGGCTCTTTTACCTTTTCAATGATTACTTGGAATTTGTGAATTTTATTAATTACATAGAAATTACTAGATTTCCATTTAAAATTTGTAATATAATTTATTTCAATTGTCGTGAGGTATTTATGTTTGCTTTTCAATTTAATAAGTTTGCTAAAAACTACTTTATCGGATTCAGTACTTATTTTTTCATATGTATTAACAGAAAAAAGATAGTCTTGATAAAAACGTTTGTTTGTATAAAATGTAGAATCCATTACAACTAAAGTATTACTTTTGTCAGCTTTTTTAATGACTATGTCTTTCATTTCTTGTGATTCTTTAATCGCTGCTTTTCTTCTTTTGTAATGTTATCAATATATTGGACTTTAATAGGTTTAGTTTGTGTAATTTGTGAAATAATTTCGTTTATTTCTGGCAGAGTGGTTTTGGTAAATTAATTAGATTTATTTTTAATTATACTAATATCGCTACTTGTAGCACCATAAAACTTTTCTTTTAGTATAAGTTTCCTAGTAAAATTTTGAATATCTGAATCGATATGTAAGAAATTACCATTTGTAGCCAGGCAACACTTTGAACCTTTGGTGAGAAGAAAATTTTTTTTCAACTTTTTTTTTTCCTTGAGCTTAACAATGAAAGTTTTTTGTTATCATACGAAAAGCATCTGCACAAACAAAAACATGATACTTTTAATTGATACTTCCTGTGTATTATTAGAAATGAAGTTATCAAAATAGTTAATCATAGCAACAATATGCAATTCAATTTATTTTGTATACAAAAATTTTGCAATCATACCATAACAGCAC